ACATGTGAAGCAGGGGATGGAAGATCTCTCACTCTTTCTCTCTCATTCTAATTCTGCCTTTCAAGTAAGTAATTTTTCTTGAAAGATGTCCTTCAAAACGTGACCGTATAAATAAATCATGGTATATGCAAACACAACAGAATACTGTTCAGTGATAAAAAGAAATGAGCTGGGGCTGGTGCTGTGGGATAGTGGGTAAGGCTGCTGCATACAGTGCCGGCATCCCATATGGGCACTGGTTCCAGTCCTGGCTGCTCCACTTCTGATTCAGCTCTCTGCTATGGCCTGGGAAAGCAGAAGATGGCCCAAGTCCTTGGAAGACCCAGAGGAAGCTCCTGGCTCCTGGCTCCAGATAGGTGCAGCTCCAGCCATTGCAGTCAACTGGGGAGTGAACCAGTGGATGTAAGACCTCTCTCTCTCTCTCTCTCTCTCTGCCTCTCCTCCTCTCTCGGTTTAACTCTGACTTTCAAATAAAAAAAAAAAAAAAAAAAAGAAAAGAAAGAAACCAATGAGCTCAAAAGACACAAAAGGACGTATAAGAACTATAAATCCAAGTGCTAAGTAGAAGAAGCCAATATGAAAGGCTACATATAAGATTCCAATTGTGTAATATTCTGGAAAAAGCAGAACTATGGAGACAGTAAAAAGGTCAGTGGTTATCGAGGGTTGAAGTTGAAGAATGAATGGGTAAAGTACAAGGGATTTTTAAGGCAGGAAAACTATTTTCGAAGATATTGTGATGGTGTATATATACATGTTATTACCCATTTTGTCAACCCTATAGAACTGATGTAGTTAATAAACTTTATCTTAAACTTCAAACTTTAGTTTATAAAAATTTATTAATATTGGTTTCTTAATTATAACAACTCTAAGGCAAGATGTTAGCAACAATGGGAACTCCGTGCACATCTGTTGGGAGTTGAGTTATGCGGGAACTCTTTAGACTACTGGCTCAACTCTTCTGTTAAAAAAAATATTTCTATCTAGCCAATTTACTAATGAAGTGATATTTCCTTCATCTGTATTTACTTGAACTTTTTTTAATTTTTTTTTTAAATTTTTTGACAGGCAGAGTGGACAGTGAGAGAGAGAGACAAAGAGGAAGGTCTTCCTTTTTCCGTTGGTTCACCCCTCAATGGCTGCTGCGTCTGGCGCACTGCACTGATCCAAAGCCCGGAGCCAGGTGCTTCTCCTGGTCTCACATGCGTGTGCAGAGCCCAAGGACTTGGGCCATCCTCCACTGCACTCCCAGAGCAGAGAGCCGGACAGGAAGAGGAGCAATCGGGACAGAATCTGGTGCCCCAAATGGGACTAGAACCTGGTGTGCTGGCGCCACAAGCGGAGGATTAGCCTATTGAGCCATGCGCCGGCCTACTTGAACATTTTTACCACTTCTATTAATGTTTACTAGATTTTTTTCCCTTTTTTTCTAAATTTTTCCTGTGTCTGTGGCAACAAACTGCTAGGAAGTAAGTTTGAATAAATTTAGCTACTAGCTGCTGCAGTTGTATGTTTAGGCTCAACACACACTGATGTGCAAATCATACAGATTAACCTACTTTGTTCTAAAGCCAACTTGTTTAAAGGTGTAGAGTTGACTACTGAACATGTTGAATGTACTAACTTTCTAGATCTCATTTTTCCATCCACTAATACAAAAATATCACTATGGAGTTTATCTAAGAATTAAAGAAACTATTACCTAAAAATGTTCTCTAACTGTTAATATGATAATGTCTATTCCAAAGGTAATAATGAAAATTGGGGGGAAAAGCTATCATTTACTAAAGCCTGAATTCATACTAAAAAGGTTTCTAGAATATCAGTATTTTTTAAATCATTAACTCTTAGACATGGTGCTTGAAATTTTCACATTTCTAAAATGAATTCTAGAAGCATCCAGAAAGGGAAAAATCACATACAAATCTATAACAAGTTAGTTTTGGCAGTCCTTACTAACATTTACCAAATATTTTAAGGTTGACCTCCCTTTTAGGTACTTTACTTTCTTTAAGTTAGAAGTGAACAAGTGACTTACTCCAGCCATTGAATAGTGAAGAGATAAATAGTGATCACTTCTGGGGGTTGGTGCTGTGGCACAGTGGGTTAATGCCCTGGCCTGAAGCACGGGCATCCCATATGGGTGCCAGTTTAAGTCCCAAATGCTCCACTTCCGATCCAGCTCTCTGCTATGATCTGGGAAAGCAGCAGAAGATGGCCCAAGTGCTTGGGCCCTTGCACCTGTGTGGAAGGCCCGGAAATTGTTCCTATCTTCTGGCTTCAGATCGGTGCAGCTCCAGCCATTGTGGCCAATTGGGGAGTGAACCAGCGGATGAAGACCTCTCTCTTTTTCTCTCTGCTTCTCCTCTCTCTGTATAACTCTGATTTTCAAGTAAATAAATAAGTCTTTAAAAAAGAAAAAAAAAAAGTAGGTTTGCCTGCACAGGACCACTTGCAAGGAAGTGTGCAGCCTCGTGGCCCAGGACTGAGTCCAGCGCAGGTAGGACTGCATGACTGTCCAGGGTATTGGCAAAAAAAGGCAAACCATCACAAAAAACAAAAACAAAAACAACCTGATCACTTCTGGGTAAAACCTTTTAACAGCATTTCCATGATTTGCCCGTCATTTCACTGGAGCACTAGTGAAGAACACACTGAGGTAACCTCAATTTGAGTAACTACAAAGCAGAATGCCTTTTGTTGATCCACACTGAGCACAGAGTAAGAGCAGCTCTAACCTTCTGTTGTATCAAGTAACTAAAATGTGAGGGTGTGATGACTGTGTAATATACTGTCTATTCAAACAGATAATTTATAAAGAAAAAAATGAAACCTGTCCTTGGAGTTTCCCCACAAAACATGAGTTGAGTAAAATCTATAAAGTCCCAAGGAAAGAAAACTGACACAAGAATTCAATGTCCAGACTTGTAAGTTATGTAAAATAATTTTTTATGTGTTTAAAATATTTCAATAGGCCAAAAGCATACAGACCTGTTCCTAAATAGCACTGAGGACAAAGCAAAGGAAAACCTTAATAAAAAGCCAAAAGGGGCCAGCATCGTGGGACACTGGGTAAAGCTGTGACCTGCGATACCAGCATCCTATATGGGTACCAGTTCGAGCCCTGGCTGTTCCACTTCCAATCCAGCTCCCTGCTAATTGCCTTGGTAAAGCAGCAGAATATAGTCCAAGTGCCTGGGCCACTACTACCCATGTGGGAGATACAGATGAAGGCCCTGGCTCCTGGCTATTGCTTGACCCAGCCCTGGCTGTTGTGGCCATCTGGGTAGTGAACCAGTGAGTGGAAGATCTTTCTCCTTCTCTCTCTCCCCCTCTCTAACTCTTTCAAATAAATAAATAAATCTTTAAAAAAAAAAAAGGCAATGAAAAATACTGTGTGCAACAAAAGCATCTCATAGGGATGCCAGTTCAAGTTCTGGTTGCTCTACTTCTGATCAAGCTCCCAATGAATATGTCCAGGAAAGCAGGGGAAGATGGCTCAAGTGCTCAGGCTCCTGCCAACCATGTGGGAGACCCACATGGAATCTCTGGCTCCTGGCTTTGGCATGGCCCAGTCTTGGCCACTGTGACCATTTGCGGAGTGAACCAGTGGCTGGAAGACTCTCTCTTCTCGGTAACTCTGCCTTTCAAATAAATAAATAAATAAATTTAAACAAACACAAAATGAGGGAAAGTAGAAAAGATTTTTGAGTGTAAGATATGAGTGTATTGGGGCTGGTGCTATGGCATAGTAGGTTAAGCCTCCGCCTGCAGCACTGGCATCCTATAGGGACACTGGTTTGAGTCCTAGCTGCTCCAATTCTGACCCAGCTCTCTGTTAATGGCCTTGGGAAAGCAGGGGAAGATGGCCCACATGGGGGACTTGGAAGAAACTCCTGGCTTTGGATCAGTTCAGCTCTGACCACTGTGGCCATTTGGGGTATGAGCCAGCAGATGGAAGATCGATCTCTCTTTTTAACTCTGACTCTCAAATAAATAAGTAGAGCTTTAAAAAAAGAAAGAAAAATATTTGAGTGTATGTATGAGAAAATTGCTAAATGTTAGACTTAAACAATAAACAGTCAAAAGAAAAAAATGTATGGCATGATAGTTCTTAGACTTATAAAAAGAGGATAAGGGGCAAATGTTATAGTAGAATAGGTTAAGGCTCCACTAAAGATGCCTGCATCCCATATTAGAGTGCCCGGTTGAAGTTCCAGTTACTCCACACTTTCAATCCAGCTTCCTGCTAAGGCATCTTGGAAGCAGTAGATTCTAGCTGTGGCCTGTCCTAGCACAGACAGTAGCAGGCATCTGGGGAGTGAACCAGCAGAAGGAAGATCTGTCACTCTGCCTTTCAGACAGATAATCTTTACAATCTCTAATTTTTGAAGGACAGAAACTATGATGGAACAAACATAATTGATAATTTGTCAGGAGGAGGAAATATGGGTAAAAAAAAAAAAGGTATGCCCAACTCACATATACTTGGGGCCAGCACTATGGCATAGCGTGTAAAACTCCTGCCTACAACGCCAACATCCCATATGGGTACTGGTTTAAGTCCTAGCTGCTCCACTTCCAATCCAGCTCCCTGCTAATGGCCTGGGAAAGCAGCAGAAGATGGCCCAAGTGCTTGGGCTCCGGCCACCCAAGTGGGAAACTTGGATGAAGCTCCTGGCTCTTGGTTTTAGTCTGGCCCAGCCCTGGCCATTGCGGCTATCTGGGGAATAACCCAGCAGATGCAAGCTCACTACCTTGGTCTCTCTCTCTCTCTCTCTCTCTTTCTCTCTGCCTCTCTAACTCTGCCTTTCAAATAGATAAATAAATCTTGAAAAAAATATATATTTTATAAGGTTTTTGCTTACCTTCTATGATTAAAGAAAAAAAGGAACAAAACAAAACAATGAAGTGAAACACATTTTCACTATTATGTGAAATAAGAATCACCATATGCCCACCAAAGCAAAGAAATGCTAGAAATTAACAAGTTTTACCATTGTCTTTCCTGATCCTCGAGGTCCAATAATAAGTACAGAGTTACTTTCTCCATGGATAGCAGTTCTTTTTAACAGCTCAATCAAATGTCTAAAATGACATAAACAGGAAAAAACTTAAAAAAATAAAACTGGAATAATTGGCTAGGTAGTACTTTTTAAGAACTGAATATGAATATACACAAATTCCTTTTTCTTTTTTTCCCTTAGGGTACTTGACTTAGGCTCCAAATAGTCATAAACAGGAATATACTGATTCTCTGGAAACCTCAAGAGAAAACCTAGAAAGTTTAATATATTTGAATATTTTGATGGTAAGGAACAACTTGGCACTTATAGAACCTTTGCATTTATATCTCCTTTCCCACTAACACTACAGCCTTTATTTTCTAGCTGGCTGCCAGGGATTCAGGGCAAGAAGATCAGAATTTTCTGAGCAGACAACAGAAACAAACTAAGATTGAGAGTTAAAAGACCTTCTTATCAGGAGAATATCTTTACCTACTCATATGTCATAATATTCAGTTTATCTATAAAGCAAAGTATTATGATTCTATGAAAGTATTCATTAGTCATATTTAAGATCAAATTTGTGTAAATTTTTTTTTTTGCAAAAACCGGAAGGACATTTATAAATAGATTTATAGAGATAATGAATTAGACAGACTTACTTGTACTGTACTTGCACTCCAAATAGGTTACTATGTGGATTCTGGTGACAAAATCTTGCACGTAAAATTCTTTGTACCTGAAGAAAATATAATAAATATTAGACATGTAATCAAAAATGAAAGGGAAAATACATTTATAGCATTCAGAATCAGTTATTAATGAGCCAATTGAATCCTCCTTAAAAACTTGTCCTTAAGAATTCTGGCACCATTTTCATGACCTATAAAATTAATCGCACTCTTAATCTAACTCAAAGCCCAAATAAAGGATGAAAATTCAGTTGTTACTATTTCAAAAAGAAGGTGAATTAAATAACCAATTTGAGGACTGTTTTAATGCATACGAATGAATGTATAACATCACAACCAAGGAACAAAGACAGGAGAATATCTAATAATGCTTTTCAAGCTAAATGCTCATGAACTACATAATCTCTAGAGAACATCACATCTAAATTGGCTTCAGTCAAACACTACAATCTGTTGAAGAAAACAAATACATTTTATAGTTCAGTTATTAAGAACTTGTTGGGCTAGAGCACAGTATATTAAAATGGCAATGATCCATACCTAAATAGATATTGCAAATAATTGGAAAAAAATGCTAAACCATACTTTAATAGACACTGTAAATAACTTGAAAGAAATGCCAAATTTAGGATGTCCCATACCAGACTGCCTAGAATAGATTCCCAGCTCTGGTTCCTGATTCAAACTTCCTGCTGATGTGTGCCGTGAGAGGCAGTACTGATGTGTGATATAATTGGGTTCCTGCCATCCACATGGGAGACCTGGTCTGAGATCCTAGCTGCTGGCTTCAATCTCCCTGTGGGCATCTACGAGTAAACCTGGGGATTAGAGCGGGTGTGCACTCTCTCGTCTCTCAAATAGATAAAAAGTTCACAAAAAAGTAAAATTCAAGAAACAAACTGCAAAAATGTAGTAGTCTGGTATTTAAGCAAGCATGCCAGAAGCCACATTTACCTAGGCTATGAAGTATGGAATTACTGAAATGAATTAAGAAAAATTATTGGCCGGCACCACGGCTCACTAGGCTAATCCCCCACCCGCGGCGCCAGCACCCCAGTTCTAGTCCCGGTTGGGGCGCCGGATTCTGTCCTGGTTGCTCCTCTTCCAGTTCAGCTCTCTGCTGTGGCCCGGGAAGGCAGTGGAGGATGGCCCAGGTCCTTGGGTCCTGCACCCGCATGGGAGACCAGGAGGAAGCACCTGGCTCCTGGCTTTGGATTGGCACAGCGCGCCGGCCATAGCGGCCACTTTGGGGGTGAACCAATGGAAAAAGGAAGACCTTTCTCTCTCTCTCTCTCTCACTGTCTAACTCTGCCTTTCAAAAAAAAAAAAAAAAAATTTGGGGCCAGCACTGTGGCTCAGTAGGTCAATTCTCTGCCTGCAGTGCCAGCATCCCATATGGGCACCAATTCAAGTCTGCTCCTCCTCCAGTCCAGCTCTCTGCTATGGCCTGGGAAAGCAGTAGAAGATGGCCCAAATCCTTGGGCCCCTGCACCTGCGTGGGAGACCAGAAAGAAGCTCCTGGCTCCTGGCTTCGGATTGACACAGCTCTGGAGTGAACCATGGAAGGAAGACCTTTCTCTCTGTCTTTTCCTCTCACTGTCTGTAACTCTACCTCTCAAATAAATAAATAAAATCTTTAAAAAATTATTTTAAGGTAATATAAAAGGGCACATCAAAAAGTTTATGAAAAATTAGAATCAAAAGATAAGTGTAGAGGCTAGTGTTGTGGCATAGCAGGTTAAGCTGCTGCTTATGAGCTGACATCCCATATCAGATGTATGCCAGGTCAAACCCAGCTGCTCTGCTTCTGATGCAGATTCCTGCTAAGTGCTTGGGAAGCAGCAGATGATAGCTCAAGTACTTGGGCCCTTGCCACCCACATGGAGTTCCTGGATCTTGGACTCACCCTAGCACAGCCCTGGCTGCTGTTAACCATTTGGGGAGTGAAACCACAGATGGAAGACATCTTTCTCTCCCCTCTCCACCCACCACCATCTCTTTCCTTGCCATATTCTCTCTGATGTCCTTCCTTTCAAATAAATAAATATTTTAAAAATTAAAAAAACAAATTTATTATGGTGCAAAAAATTTTGAAATCTGTACATAAAGAAACTTCAAAAAACTCATGGAAATGTGTATTATGAAAAACCTATCTGTGGATGTCAGAACTTTTTCATCAAAATAAAATTTTAATAACATTTTCCACTATTCTCTTTTTCAAAGATTTATTTATTTATTTGAAAGTCAGAGTTACACAGAGAGAGAGAGAGAATCAGGAATCGTCCATCTGTTGGTTCACTCCTAGGAAGGCCACAATGGCCAGGGCTGTGCCAGGCCGAAGCCAGGAGAAAGGAGCTTCATCTAGGTCTCCTACGCATTTTCCACTAACTTTTTTGAAGTACACTTGTAGTTTGAATTCACCATGGAATCAGGTACTTAGACTTATTTGTAAAGAATCATGTCATACAATCTAGCAGAGTCTTTTGGAAAAGGGACCAGTAAAGTCATTACTTTTCTGGATCTGCTGCAAATACGGTGTTCCTTCCTTAGGAAGGGACAAAAACCTTGCGGAACCATCTCAAATTTGACTACATTTACTAAGAGGTTCCACGATTATTTGGTTTTTCTTTAATGTACCTGAGATGAATCTTAGTTTGCTTTACATGTAGCAGACCTTAAGCAAAAAAGAACTAATTCACTAGGAATAAAACAATTCATATTTAGCACTACAAATAAAAAGACAGAACAAAGAGATTGGTGCCAGAAGAGACAGTAATATGAATTTAAGAAGGTAAAGTCCTTTCTAATTTTCAACTTCTCTACCTACAAAATGGTAATAAAATCTTTCATGATTAAATAAGACAATTATTTGTAACAATTCAGAAATTGTATACATAGTAGCTCATACCTGTATAACATTTAAATGAGTGCACATGCACATACACACATGGACTTTATTAATCTTCCTCTATCTAGACTAGAAATAAAGACAAATCTCGGCCGGCGCCGCGGCTCACTAGGCTAATCCTCCGCCTTGCGGCACCGGCACACCGGGTTCTAGTCCCAGTCGGGGCGCCGGATTCTGTCCCGGTTGCCCCTCTTCCAGGCCAGCTCTCTGCTGTGGCCAGGGAAGTGCAGTGGAGGATGGCCCAAGTGCTTGGGCCCTGCACCCCATGGGAGACCAGGAGAAGCACCTGGCTCCTGCCATCGGATCAGCGCGGTGCGCTGGCTGCAGCGCGCCGGCCGCGGTGGCCATTGGAGGGTGAACCAACGGCAAAGGAAGACCTTTTTCTCTGTCTCTCTCTCTCACTGTCCACTCTGCCTGTCAAAAATAAATAAATAAAAAAATAAAAATAAAAATAAAAAAGACAAATCTCAATCCTTTCCTTTAAAAAAAACAAAAAAGCAACATAACTTAGTAGAACAAATTAAAAAATTAGTAGAGCTATTTATTAAGTCATTTTAGCAAAGTTACCAGATACAACATGAAGAAACAGAAATCAATGGTATTTCTATACACTAGCACCGAATTATCAAAAAGGAAATTAAGAAAACAATCCCATTTACAACTGTATTACAAGGAATAAAACATCTAGAAATAAATTTTTTTATTTTTAATTTCTTAGAAATAAATTTAACAAAAAAAGTCCAATAGTTATACTCTAAAGATAACATTTAACTAAATTGAAATTAAGTCTCTTTTAGAAAAACAAGAGTAAAAATTAATGTTCTAACTAACCAAAGACTTACAAAAGATGAAATTAAATAGTAGTGTTAATAATAAGCAAACAATATGCATTGGCAGAAAGGGATCAAGAACAACAAAATTTGTAGATGCAGAAATTAATTTTAACTAAGAGTTTAGAAAGATTTGCTCCCAGATGATTGTTGTTAGGTTCTTGCACAGGTATCTCCTTAAGAAGAGAATGTGAATCTTACTAGCTGCTAAGGGACAAATTCAACCTAAGATGACAACTATTTTTCTGGTCACCTTTGTATAGTAACAGACCTTCAGATTAATAAAAATACATACTAACCTGTGAAAGGCATTCTGCATGCATTAAGTTGTTATTCTTTGATTTACGATTGCTCATTTCAACAAATTCAAATCCTTAAAAGAAGAAAATTTAGCATGAATATAATACACACTATTGGCTTAGTGAGATTATTTAAGTTTCCTATTCTACAGTTAAAATAAATATAATTTTTAAGTGTGAAAAATGCTTACAGTTATCAAACATTAAAAATGCTCATTGGGTCCTGTTTGTGTGACTACAGGCTTAATTTGACATCGCCATACCAAATTTTATACAGTATTTACAACTACTCCTACCTTTCTCGTAAATCTACTATTCCTATTTCCTTCCTTTTTCTTTTTTTCAACCTATAATCCCTGTATGCAGAATATTGCTCTCACCTACCCAATCCACAAGATCATCTCTTATAGAGAATCTTCCCTTCCTTGCTCCACTCAACAACCATACACAGTTATTACAGATGAGATTAAATGATTCTCTGTAAACAGCCATGAGTGTCTATATTTCTTTTTCCATAATTAAATTACAGTGAACAAAATTCTGTTTAATAGTGACACCAAATTTAGTACATTTTCATATTTCAAACATTTTAGCATAAATTTCAAGACAAAGTTGACAATGAACTAATATGTGGAATGAGAAGCAATACTAATGAAACATATTATAAATTTTGTAAACTTCTAGAGGGCAACATACTCACAGATAAATGCCTTTGCTACAAGAACTAATTTTCTTAGCACTGACTATGAATAGGAATACTTTAACAGTCAGGCTATAATAGCATAAACTATGTTTACTTAAGAATTATTATAAATGCTCTGCTAATTTAAACATCAAAAAAACCATACAGAATAAATAATATTATAACCCCATTTAATATTATAAGACACAGAAAGGTTAAGTAACCTGACCAAAACCAAACAGTAGGTAAGTGGAAGAGCCAAAACTTGAAATAAACCAAGCATACACTTTTTAAAATAATGCTTTCTGCTCTCTCCTGGAGTCTCCAGAAGGAAGACAGATCTGCTGATACTCTGATTTTAGCTCAGTGAAAACCATTTCAGAACTTCTGATCTTCAGAACTCATAAAATTCAAGACATGCTGGCCTACCATCAAATCACCAATAACTAACAATACTACAAGGTGAGCATGACAGCACCAAGAGGGAATAAAGAGACTCATCCTTGTTTGTATCCCCACAGAGCAACAATTTTGTAGCTGTGCAGATAAAAGTGCCTTTGTGAGAAATCTTCCAATTGGGGGAGCACTTTATTAAAATCTTGGTGGAGTCAAGGCCTACAAAGATAGTTTTGAGAGGGCAGACCCTTCACTCAGGAAACAGACTTGATGACTGTGGACCTGTCTCCAAGGGCTCAGCCACAGTCCATCATGATTTTGATACTGTTACCTAAACTATGAGGCTAGGAGTCAAACACATAAGTGCATTATAAGATAGCATGCCACTCCCACTCCCCACCCCTCCATTTTTCACACTTGCCTTATAGACTAGAAACATCAACTCTCAAACTTAGCTCTAGCCCTCTCATTGTGGTCTGAGATCAGTTCTGCTCCCCTCAAAATCCAGAAGACATACCTGTCGGAGTCCATGGGACAGGTTTTCCAAACTGAGTCCCACCCAGATCCCAACTTTCCTGAACCTTGGTCACTGCCACTCTTGGCTTTGGGCCAAAAGCAGTCATGCCTGTACAAAGAACTCTTGGGAGACTTACTTGTCTGTGCCACTAAAAACAGGCTTGCCAACCTCAATCCCTAGCAAATGGTCAACCAGCTATGAATCCTGGACCTCGCCCTTCTTCGACAGCCCTGAGAGCAATACTACACAGGCACAAACTAGATAGGAGACGTGCCCTTCTGTGTCCATGTGGCAGGCCTGCCAACTTCAATCCCACATTAGATCCTAAAACAACACTGAATCTCATTCCCATTTCCTCTCAGCTGTGGATGGAGAGCAGTTCTGCCTACTCACATCCCAGGGGAAGGGAGGCCCATCTGTGCCCTTGGAGGCAGACAACCTGTGTCCTACAGTAGACCATGAAACTGCCCAATAAAGCTGTTCTAGCCTCTCTCAGTCAGACTTCAGAGCAGGTCTGCCCACTCAAGGACCTACTGGGAGACACACATGTTCATGATCCCAGAAGTAGGCTTAAAAACTTTGGTCTTGGCTATAGACCTGAAGCAGCACTGCAACCTACTTCCAAGTCCCACTCACCATGAACTTGGCAGTACTGCCTGCCTAATGATCCAGCAGAAGTCCTACCAGGGACTTAAAATAAGTCATATTTGTCTGCACATCTTTATCCCAGTGCTATCCATATGGACAAAGGTTCTGGAGACAGTCCAGTCCACCCATTGGGACCAAACAGAATTCACACCCACTACAATCCCGGATAACAGGTCCAATAACCAGGAGACAGCAGCAGTCACATGACTCAGTTCCAACTCCACTGGCCAAGATACAGGAATCTCATAGGGAACCAGTCTGTAAGGACAAGAGTGCTCCTTCAAATGCACAGAATGACAATGTAAGGCTATAAGGATAACAAAGAATCAGGTAAATACGGCATAACAAAGGAAAATTAAATAAAGCTCAAGAAGCTGCCCCCAAGGAAATGGAGATCTACAAACTGTCTGAAAAAGAAATCAAAATAATTATCTTATAGAAGCTCACTGAAGTAACAGAAAACACTGAAAACTCAGATTAGGAAAATAATGCATGAGAAAAATGAGAACTTTAATAATAATAACAGAAACCAAAAGTTAACTATTATTCTGGAGCTGAAGAACACAGTGACATGAATGAAAATTTCAATGACAAGTTTTACTGAAGAATTCAATAGAAACTTTCAACAGCAGACCAGATCAGCAGACCAAATCATGCAAAAGTCATGTCATTTGAAATGACCCAATTACAGGAACAAGAAAAGAACAAGAAAGAGTCAGGAAAATATAAGGGTGCTCTGGGACAGTAATATATAAATGATCAGAGTCCCAGAAAAAAGAGAGAAAGTGAAAGAAAGAAAGAAGTACTATCAAAAAACATTCCAAATCTTAAGAGGCACATAAACACCAGATTCATGAAGCTCAAAGGGCACTAAGAAGGATCAACCTGAAGAATATACCAAGATATATTATGATTAAACTATGCGCTGTAGCACAGTAGGCTAAGACTCTGTCTGCCATGCAGGCATCCCATATGGGCACCGGTTGTGTCTAGGCTGTTCCTCTTCTGATCCAGCTCTCTACTATGAACCTGGGAAAGCAGTAGAAGATGGCCCAACTTTATCCTGCATCTATGTGGAAGTCTTGCAAGAAGCTCCTAGCTCCTGGCTCTTGGCTTCAGACTGACCCATCTCCAGCTGCTTGTGGTCATTTGGGGAATGAATTGGTAGATGGAAGACCTTCCTCTTTGTCTCTCCCTCTCTGTATCTCTCTCTCTCAAATAAACAAACAGAAATTTAAAAAAAAAATGAAAAGAAAATGACAGATTCTAGAAAGCAGCAGGACATAAAAGACTTGTCACATACAAGCAAACTTCCATAAGCTATTAGTGGTTTTCTGAACAGAAAATTCTACAAGTCAGAAGAGAGGACAGTGATATATTTAGAGTATTAAAATTAAACATTCTTAGCCAAAGATTGAGGGAGTTCACTAACACCAAGCTTACCCAAAAGAAATACTAAAGGGGAGTTCTTTAAGTTAAAAAAAAATGGTTAAATATGTAGTCAAATTCAGAGTACTCTTAATAATATTTTGGTAGTGTGTAAATCCCTTATATTTCTAGAACAAAGGTTAAAATACAGAAATAACAAAAATAACTAGACTTTCACTAATCTGTTAAGGCAAACATAATATTAAAAAAAGTAAATTTAGCCTTCAAATTCAAAATGTGGAGGTAGTAAAAGTACAGAGCTTTTATATATGATCAAATATACATTATCAGCTTAACATAACATGTTTTAAAGAGAAAATGTTTTATCTACATCTTATGGTTACCATACAGCAAAAATCTGCATTAGCCATAAAAGAAGCAAAAGAAGAAAAAAGGAAGAATTGATTTATGAAACAGCCTGAACACAATTAATAAAATAGCAGTAGTTGGGGCTGGTGCTGTGGCTCACTTGGCTAATCCTCCGCCTGCAGTGCTGGCATACCATATGGGTGCCGGGTTCTAGTTCCGGTTGCTCCTCTTTCAGTCCAGCTCTCTGCTGTGACCTGGGAGGGCAGAGGAGGATGGCCCAAGTGCTTGGGCCCCTGTGCCCGCATGGGAGACCTGGAAGAAGCTCCTGGCTCCTGCCTTCAGATTGGCACAGCACCGGCCGTGGCGGCCATTTGGGGAGTGAACCAACGGAAGGAAGACCTTTCTCTCTGTCTCTCTCTCACTGTCTCTAACTCTACCTGTCAAATAAATAAAAAAAAAAATAGCAGTAGTAAGTTCTTAATCTATTATTATTCTGAATGTAAATGAATATATTCTTCAATCAAAAGATGAGCAGATGCATAGGGAAAAAAAGCAAGATTCAGTTATATTCTGTCTAGAAGAGACCCACTTCACCTTTAAGGACACACATATACTTAAAGTGAAGGAATGAAAAAGATATTCCCTTTTAATGGAAACAGAAAGAAAGGATAGCTATATGTAGAAGATACAGACTTTGAGTCAAAAACTCAGATATCTGTCAGAGACATCTGCACTCCATGTTTATTGTACCACTATTCACAATAACCAAGAAATTAACAACCTAAGAGTCCAACCACTGATGAATGGCTAAAGAAAATGTGGTACATATATACAATGGAATATTAATAGGCTATATAAAAAGGATGAAATGTTGTCATTTATGACAACATAGATGGAACTGAAGGTCATTATGTTAAGTGAAAAAAGCAAGGCACAGAAAAACAAATATCACATGATCTCATTCAAACGTGCAGTTTAAAAAATAGGTGAGAGGCCAGCCTTGTGAAACAGTAAATTAAGGTGCTGTGTGCCAATCCGGCATTCCCTATCAGAATGCTGGCTAAGTCATAGCGGTTCCACTTCTGATCCAGCTC